GACAGTGAAAAAGCAATCAATCATATGACCCCTTCAAAGATGTATCTATCTATATTTTCTTTTGTAGAAGAAAGAAAACTGTCAAGCAATGAAGGCGCAATAAAGAAAGCCTTATGCTAGGCTTAAGCAAGCTAGTAAGTTGGCCAACCTTCCCGGTGGAAAGTAGAGCATCTTTCTATCGTCACTAAGACCCCTAGCTGCTTTAATTAGACGAGCACACACAGAAAACTGAATGTGAGCATAACATGAAGCCACCTATGAACAAGACAATATATCAAGCTTGAGCCTGCACGCTTTTCTCTCTAACACGCTCGAGACGTTCAGACCTCTTCGGCTATGTAGCACCCCAACCCGTACCCGAACCGAATACGAGTCCGAGATGTCACATTGACTTTTAAAAACGATATTCTTACAAAATATCAAAACATTTGAACTCATTTTAAGAAAATACGATCATATATTGTTGAATTGTGTTTGTTATAAAAGTTTGAGTAAAAAATGTATTTATGAACAGTAAAATATGGTATGAACAGTACCGCATGAACACTGATTAATAATACCGTGAACAGTACCTACTACAGTACCCGGATGTTAAAATTTTCCAGATTATAAGAGGGGAACCGATACCCCTGCTACAGTACTTTCGTAAACATGTATAAAACTCATAAAATTTAAAACGTTCATCATTATACAAAATTTCCATTTACATATATACATTTAAAACATTTCAAAACTTGATCAGAGCGTATCCAATACATATCTTTTTAATTTAATACATATCAACTAAATTGTTTCTAACAAAATACATGTAATTCGATATATATTTCTGATATGATCTTCGGTAAGGAGAACTGATCTGTCTTGTTCCTCTTTACTTCTCTTTTCGCTTTCCAAACCTACGTGTGAAACAATCACACGCTAAGTCGATGACTTAGTGAGGCATAAAAACATATAATGGAAACCATAAAACATTTCATAAAGAAATACTCTTAATATCATATAATTCATATCAAATGCATGAACATTTATTACGATCATATCATATACAAACATATATCATTTCTATAACATATACCCACATCCACATATATCCTTATCAACACGTTTAACATTTCATATTCATTATCATTAATCCTTATAATTTAACCACCTTATACATAACGTATCATGCATTAACCAAGCAATACACCATTACATAAATCATGTGATCTATTCCATATAACCATTCACATATACATATCATATTCAGTATACTTATTAAATTTCTTTGTTAGCCCATGTACACTATTGAGAACTTAAGGTATGTGAGTACACCGAGGTTGTGCACAGATGCTGTCACCACAGCTCGTATAAATTGCACCGAAGTGCCATGTAGAAATGCACTGTAGTGCCATATAAGATTGTCCATAAGGACCACATATAAATTCCTTAAGAATCATATACATATACCAAGAAACAAGTAAGTGTCTCAAAAGACCTCATACATGCTCCAAAGAATACATATATGTCCCGAAGGACCACGTAGAATTTGTCTCGAAGGACCGCATAGACCCTCGACTCTTGGCATGCCAACTATACCTATAGCTCTCGTATCATATAACATGGGCACTATCATTTATGCATTTCATATCACTTGTTCTTTCTCTTCTGTCACATACCACATGTATGTGTACCCGTATCTCATATCATATCACATGTATCACAAGTGCATGTATTCACGTAGTTTACTTTCATGTAATTCATGTCACTTTTCATATGATTTCATAATCGTATGTCACATATACTTTGAATCATCTTTTTCACATACTCATATAATCCTTTCCTATAGTTCATATTTTATTTTCACATATGGTATATCACATAAATCACATATCACATATAAACACATATCAGTTTATATAATCAAGTATACATACATTTCATGTCATTCACATCCTTATAATCAATTCTCCATACACTATAACTATTGGAAATAGACTCATCGCAAATCCAATTCATTATAATCCTATAAACTAAAATGCACTCATAAGAATCATATCAATCATATAACATTTTAGGAGTCACTTCTTACTATAGTAACTCCGTCACTGGCTCATCACAAGCCAATGTTTTCGATAGCATAAGTACAATTAAATTGAACTCACCTTAGCCTTGCTTTGATTCGATCCTAATCATTTGATTATTTCGGAACTTGTTTAGGCTCAATATCTACATAAATATAACATTTCAAAACAATTATCAGAAGCCTAAACCTTACACTTGATGTTAATAACTTAAGCCCAAAACTCCATATTTTTTTCTTTAGGGGGGAATCTGTTCCCCCTGCACAATCTGGAATTTCCGTTCAAGCCCAGAAATCACTGTTCATTGCACGAAAATTCTCTATTTCCACTTCAATTCTTCACATTTCATCCCCTTTTATATTCTTAACTCAAATATACATACTTAAACTACTTTATATCCATTTATTTCATCTTAAACCTCAAAATTCTATTCTCCATATAGAAATCAATAATCATACCAAATTTTTCATGTTATTCAAACTTAATTCTAACACTTCTAACTTCTTATTCTCATAGATGACAAGTCAAATTCAACTTCAAATTCAACTTATCAACTCTATTTCAAGATTTCATTCAAGAACTCAAAATCTTTAATCTCTCATATACCTTTCATCTTGTTGTTTTAGAACAAATTAAGCTTTCCTTAAGCTTAATTATCATCTAATGATCAAAACCCAACCTTTAATTCAATAAATAATCAACAAATTAGAAAACTCACCTTTGCCTAGCCTCCACGGTTGGAGAAGAAGAAAGGAAGAAGATGAAATGTTTTCATCTTCCCACGTTTTTATCTCCTATTAAAGGGGATAAAAATATCTTTCATGATAAATGACCATTTTGCCCTTTAATTATTTGGATAATTATTAACAACTTTCAGGAAATATCCCCAATTAAATCATTTAACTATTCAACTATTATACTTTAATCACCAAATTTTGAAATTTTACAATTTGGTCACTAACCCGTAATTTGGGATGTTACAGGCTAACTCCTTTGGATCATGGCTTTTCCAACGAAACTAAGCACTTTTTTTGTTTTTTTCATTCGGAAGGCTCAATCTCACACTCTGACTTCAATGATGGAAAGTAAAGCGATCGGGTATGGTGGAAATGAAATAGCTCGATAGAAGGAAAGCGAGAGGAGGCTATGAAAGTTCAGATCAAGTGCCAGAAGAAATGGTCGACTCTGAATCCGGATTGGTTTGAATCCGACTAAACCCTTCATTTTTTAAAATCTCGAGGCAATGTTCGATTATTGCACACAATAATTGATCTCCCACATTCACGCTACGAGTAAATATTATTGACTTTAATAAACGAGCACCCTCTTCAACTTTGCGTCCATAGTGATTTTTAAATTAAATAAAACTTCAAACTTCAAATTTCTAATTTCAAATTTCTAATTCTTAAATATAGGACAATCAATTAGGTACCAACCTTCAGGAGCTGTGGGGTGCTAACCCTTTCTCATGCATAACTAAGTCCCGAACGTGTTTTTTGATTTTTGTTAACCCTAAACTTGGTATTTTATTAAATTACCCAGTTTTAAGGTGTTACCATCGCACCTTAAAATAATTCGTGACGAATCCCACGTTTCACAAAATACATTTAAAAAATACTTCAAAACCGACTTGTCGGCCTTAGGGATGTGCGTACTCCTAAAACCAACCTTTATTTAAGTCGTATTGGTTTTTCTCTCCACCCGGCAAAAAAAACGGTGTATTCACTTTCAAATACCTAACCAACATTGAATGGGGTCCTTTGTCTCCTACCAATATGGAACTGCGCACATGCTTAATTATTTCAAGTCCAACTTTGTTTCCCTGCGCTTTGCGGACCTCAAATTTCCAACACTAAACTCGTGTTAGTTGCATGCATGAAGTTAGGTCCAATAGTTTTATTGAACACCAAAGTAAATTAATGATTTGTTGATGAAAACCGAATCTTTATTTTCAATGAAATTTTAATAAATAGGTTAGTAACAGTGATTAATACTTAGAATCCACTGTTTGTGATTTCTATTTAGTCTTAAAATAAAGAAAAATGTCTAAATTATACCCTTTAAATAAAGAGATGTCTAAACTATTTTTTACGGTCAATATAGATGTTTAACGTTAAAAACATAACTATTTTAAGTGTTTTATCCATATCGGCGCCAAAAAGATCGTTAAGTGACACATGTCGTATTAGATAATTAAAAAAATATATTTAAAAATATTATTATATTTTAAAAACTCTATTTTTTTTCTTAAATTACAAAAAAATAAGCCCCAAATACTTTAAAATCTCAAACCCCTAATCTAACTCCTATCTTACCTCCCTTTCCGGCCATCGTCGTTGTTATCGTCCTTGCCATCTCCCTAATCAGACGTCATAATCATTGCCGTCATAGTGCTATCGGAGTCGCCTAGTTGCCTCAATATTGTGATTTGGATTGTCGTTCATCGATTAGGGGTTTGTTGGGTGGCTAGGTCATCAGGTGATTGGATGAAAGAGTTTCGATCGACAACAATGGCGGCAAAGGGTGGCAGTCAGCGTGGGTATAGGGATTGAAATTAGTTTTTTCAAAGTTTTGTGGATTTTTTTAAGATTTTCCAAAATTATGGGGTTTTTTAAAATTTTAATTTTAATTTTTTTTATTCTATAACAAATTTTTAAAATACGTCACGTGTCACTTAACGGGCTTTTTTAACGGTCATTATGGTTGAGACACTTAAATGGATAACATTTCTAATATACTAATATTAGATACCTAGATTTATCGGGAAAAAAATTAGT